ATTCCCTCTAACAGGGGAATGATGTGACAACCATCAAATTTTGGTCAAGTCAAAGTTAACAAACGTCAACAAGTCAAACCAATAAACTCATGTAGTGCTAGTATGATAAGATATATTCTATGTCTTTTTATGTACAACTCTATATCATAATGCAAAGTGTCACTCAGAAGTTTCAAATGTTTAAAAATTCTAAACCCTAATCAGGATGAGTGAGGAAATGACTCTATAAAGCACTAATAAGTACCCTTCGGGGGTGTAAAACGCTCATGAGAAGGCATATTGGGGTTTACGAACCTTGTATTATGAGGCCAAACTCTAACAAAGATCACAAACAAAGTCTCTCTCAATCTGTCTCTCTCACTCTCTCACTCTCTCTCTCTCTCCCAAATCTCTCTCAAATCCTCTCTTAACTTTTTTTTATAATCCCTCGGGGCATCCCGGCCCTTAACTTAGTCAAAAACCTCTTGAAACGGGAAGATTATGTGAGAAATAGTCTATTAGGGCCGAAGCCTCTTAGGACTGAAACCCTTAGGATCAAAGCCTCTTAGGAACGAAACTTTCCTTATGACCGAATCAGCAATTCGGACCAAGACCAGCTTCGCCTACATCAACTTCGGTCGCCTGCATTCGGTTCAGTTCGCCTCATTCCGATTCGGCTCATCTCGTTCTCGCTTCCCACTCAATGAACCTCGTCCGCAAGCATTCTTGGACTGAACATAACTTCGGTTCCTAACTCCCCTGGACCGAACCTTCGGTTCTGAGACCCAGAACTTCACAAGTTCGCCTCTTGGTCCCGATTTTTGACCACTTTCGCGTTTTAAGCCCATTTTTGATGATTTTGACGGGGGATTTTCACCCAAACTCATATTTTGACATATAATACCCCATAGATTCATATTTTAATCATATCTTGGGGAAATCTTTATCATAGATAATATCTTTTGTACAAGACATTATCTAAGGGTTGGTTGACTTTTCCAAGAAGTTATGACACCATGCCCACTTTATGTCACTATTCACTCCTTACCATATCAAATCATAGTCCTTTTATGAATTTTCCAACACTTTATTGACTTAATTACACTAAATCCACCTAAAAGATCTATATCTCACTTACTTCTCAAAATAATCATTCACCACATTCTTGAAACAAATACTCTCTCTCTCTCTCTCTCTCTCTTTCATTCTTAATTTTCCTCCCTGGAACCAAGAACTCTAGGAAGTCATGAGCCTTCCCTTCATTTTTGGTATGTTCTCCTTTTTCTACTCTTGAATATTCCACACTCCTTCACTCAAATCATGGATTTCTTATACAAATATCGTCATATTTGTTCTTAAATCTTCAAATCCTCAAGCATTCTCCAAGTGTTCTTGACTTGGAACCCCCCCCCCTCTTTTCAACATCCATCTCAAGGAATCACTCAAGGTGAGCTCATACCCCCTTCTTTCATGTTTTATCTAGTTTTATGGGGGGAGAATACAAGTCACAACATCAAAAACATGCTTAAACTCAAATGACAACTTTCAATAGAAAAGTTTTGGCTCATTCACGATCTGTTTTGACCATCTTAAACTCCATAACTTTCAAAACTATTCAATATACAAATAGTTCAGGTTTATACCTTTAAAATAACTACTTGCACATCCTCATGCAATTTTTCTACAATTTATGGTGATTTTTACAAAACTGCCTATCATTTTGCATATGGGCATTTTCGCACTAGTTAGAAACCACTAAAAATCATAATAAAAATTATGAATATACTAGACACATTTCGTGAACTCTCAGTTTACGGAATCAGATTTCGACTTCGTATGATCATCTGTGATTTTCTAAAAACAGTACAGAAAAGAAAAAACTAGTTAAACAACTTTCAACTTATTAACACTGTGTAACATGTTGAGCAGAGTGTATAGTAATTAAATTTCTATGTGTTGAATGTATTTCTTGTTATTTTAACATCACAAACAGAAATAGTCATTCATGATTTCCAGTTACTACAAACATATGTAATAAATTATAATAGGTATAGTTTATGGTTCTTACTTCTTACACACTACAAACTCACTATGAAAAGTATTATGTTTACACAACAAAAAGAGTTTTCATTCACTACAAACATATATAATAAACTATAATAGGTATAGTTTATGGTTCCTTACACTACAAATACACTACAAAAATGGGTTCAGTTACACTATAGAAAAGGTTTTTCATTCACTCTGTACGTAAACTCGTTAACGTAAATTGTGAGACACTACTTCATTGTACTCTTAGAGTACGGGTTAAAATTCCTAAAACTTATAACCAGAGTCTCTTGTAGGGAGAGCGTGAGAATTGTATATAGATCTATATTGGGATTGACAACCCACACCGAAGCTGCTTGCAACAGCCCGACCAGCCAGTCGGTGGTGACAAATGTCAAAACAATTCTGACGTCTGAAGAATGTCGCAGTAGGTCTACTCTGTCATAGTATGGTTATATCGACTCACATAGGGAGATAACGACACATATAGTTTATGAGAATTTCTACTTTAAAAAGGGGGTTTGTTAATCTAAAGTTACATACACTATTACAAGTACGAAATAACACACATACACTCGGTCTTGGGATTTAAGACTACATATCATTTTATAAGGAAAATATTGGATTTTTCTTGAGTATACACTACATTTACAAACAAAGGTTTTCAAACTCTACATCCAAAAGCTTATGCACTCACCAACTTAATTGTTGATACTCTTTCAAAATTACTTGTATTCTTAGGTAATCAATAAACAGGTAACTACCAGCTTTTGAGGATGGGACGCTACGATGTCAGGCAAAACATTTTATCATTATAATGTAATTGATTTTGAAACATGTAACTCATGAAACTATGTAACTTTCTCGATTATATTTATGATGGGTGTATTTACTTTAAACACTATTATATACTCGTTGTAATACTATACATGAAGCGCTCCACCCTCGGACGTTTCCGCCATCTTTTTTTTGGGGGTGTGACAGATTTTATTAAACTTTTTGGGAGACCGATTATATTCTTTTACCTGGTCCCTCATAGGGCTTTATTAAATATAAGTTATACCTTGTATCATAAAGTCCTATGTTCGTACTTTTCTTTTCATAGAGTGTGCTTTTTTGGAGATGTGCTAGCTTGGGGTTCTTAAACAATAGTTATTGCAATGGTCTTGTTCTTATCTGGTCGAGGACCCGGGTAGGTATTTTAGGAAGACATTGACACGGATAAACCATAACTAATAAAATTGGGTCTATAAAGATCCGTGTGTGTGTGTATATATATATATATATATAGCATTGGAATTGACATAAAACATGTTAAATGTTATCTTCACTATTTTAGTAACTAGTGTTTATTTAGTAAATTGCATATGTAATATTAAAAAACGTATCAACCATAAACAAATATAATTTAATGTATAGTTGGTCAATTGTTTAACAAAATTAAACATGATATTATTATTGGGAAAATATCTTAGGAGGGTAACTACCTCTTATCCGTGTTCACATATTGACAACTTTTTTTTTGTACATAAGAAAGCAATTAACCTGTTTTAACTGTTTAAATTACACAAATATTACCGGCTAATACATGTTTTAACTGGTAACTCAAAGAGAAAATAACTTAGGAGGTAACTACCTCTTATCCTTGTTCACATATTAGCAACTTTTTTTTTGTACATAAGAAAGCAACTAATTTGTTTTAACTGTGTAACTTCCCAAAAATCATGACAAAAAATTTCGTTTTTAATTTAATACTAAAACCATAATTGTTAAATCATTAATTTAATACTCCGGCATCGGGCCCCCTCGGCATCAGGCCCCGTCTGGCATTGAGCCCTGCTCGGTATATAGATCTATCTCTCTTAGTCCCCGTCCGTACTCAGCTAGTGATGAGATACGGGACCTCACCCACACTCACATGCCTACCAGGCACATACAAGTATCACATAAACAACAAATATAATTTAACATGCAAACATTCCTCGGGCACCCGCCCGGGCATCGGACCTTGGTACGGAATAACATACTAGCATACAATATCTAGGGCTAACCCCCGGGTCTTCCTACTCATAGACTACATGGGTCAGCATTGTGGCCTTAGACCCATTCACACATTGAAGAGACTCACCTTGCACTGCTGAAGCCCTGGCTGGAACTTTGTTGGCGGCTAACTGGCAATTCCCGAACTGCTACTCCTTTGGCTCCCCGAACTATCAATACCAAAATAACACTTAGACCAGAATACCCTCCAAAAGTCAAACTAAGTCAACCCCAATCAAATTCAAGATCAACGATCAATTGTCAAAGTTAACACCCCGATTTAAATAGGGTACCAAGTCCTGGATAAGATACTGGGAATGGAACCAAAAGAAGGAGAATAAGATGCTTAAATAGGGTATGAAGACCCGGAATTAGGGTTTCCTAAACCCAGACCAATTCGCCGAGTCGGTCCCCCGACTCGCCGAGTAGGTCACTTAAAAACGAAATTTTTGGTCATGATATTTGGGATGTTACACAATTAAAACAAGTTAATTGCTTTCTTATGTACAAAAAAAAGTTGTCGATATGTGAATACGGATAAGAGGTAGTTACCCTCTTAAGTCATTTCCCTTTGAGTTACCGGTTAAAACAAATATTAGCCGGTAATATTTGTGTAATTTAAACGGTTAAAACAAGTTAGTTGCTTTCTTATGTACAAAAAAAAAAAAAAATTTCCAATATGTAAACACGAATAAAAGGTAGTTATCCTCCTAAATTATTTTTCCATTATTATTTGCTTTCTTATTCATTGAATACCAAACAAAAGGGAAAACATCAATTATTTTTGGTATTTCTTACTCACAACCAAATGCATCTAAATCATCTCACCTGATCATCATAACCCATTCAATTTACGAAAAAAAAAAAAGTTATTTCTATCTAAGACTAGAAAACACATAGCAATATGTTATTATAGTTAAATAGAAAATATTGGTAAAGGGTAACTAATTAAAGTCTTAACTAAATTTGGATGAAATGTTACGTGAAAGAGAGAGCATTTTGGGTGGTGACAGCCCACAGGACGACAGGGTGGTGGAGAGAGAATAGACAGACAGACGGGTCTTTGATTTTGGGAAAATCTTGATACACAAAACACGAACTGGGAACCGACCCAACGTTGACACCAATAACAACAGCAAACCAATTCTTCTTCCAATCTACACCAAAATCTCTTGCTTTTCGTCTCGATTAACGGACTTCAATTTTGTCATACCGAATCCCAATATACACTACTCGTAAATAACTGGAACATCTCACACAATAACATCTTAGGATCTGGAAAACAAAGCAAGATCTATTGCTTTTTAATCTCTATGGAACAGCTTATCAACTTCATCATTCGCCCACCTAGGTCATTTCCGTTCTCCCTATCTATAATTCTTTCATATCTGTGTTCTGTAAGATACTTGATGATGTATATATATGTGATTTTACCCCAAATTCTGATGCGGGTTTTATGGGTTTGTATAAAGTATATTTGTCAATTCGATGGGGTTTGTGAACTCTACTTTTTCGTTATTTTTTATTACAATTTTGCTTTAAAGCATGAGTTCAATGTTTTTGTTCAAAATGTTGAAGGGGTTCCGATTTTCTTCAAGTAAAATTATATAAGTGTTATAAACCTTTGATATAAGTTGCTGCAGTTATCAGAATTATGAGTTTTTTCTTTTGCTTCAGTTACTCCTTCAAGTTTGGATCAACAGATTAGGGTTTCTGTTAAATGTTAATCAAGTAGATTAATTCATTTGTTAACCATGGTATAAATTCATAGTTTGTAATTGTGATTGTTGGCTACCAATAACTTCCACCATTGACGAATATCTTTTTTTTTTTTTGGTCGCAGAGCTGAGTATGAGCCAAGCAATGATTTACTAGATCAAGAATTCATGCTTAAAGGGAAATGGTTTCAAAGAAAAGATTTAGAGGTAAATCTTTAATATTCTTTTTTTGTTATGAGCATTAAAATTAGAAGAGAATGTGTCCCAAAAAAAAGATGATCCTCTGGTTCAATATACATCAGCCTCTATACACACATTATTATTCATGAATACACATAATTTTGGTCCTATGTATAAAGGGTATTCTTGTCTTTTCAGATAGTAAATAGCCGAGGAGACACTCTTCAGTGTAGTCATTACTTGCCTATTGTGAGTCCTGAAGGAAAGCCTCTGCCATGTGTAATATACTGCCATGGAAACAGGTTAGATGCTGCTTCTTTTTGCCTTTATGGACTTCATACAACATGTCTTAATTCAGTAAGCTCTATATGAGTGTTTCTTTTTGACTTAACTCAGAAAGAACAACTTAATAAAGTCAGGGAGTCATTCACCATTGAATCCTAACATTTTACAAATTCGCCCTTATTTATTTTTTTTCTTCCATTTCCCCACGCGTTTTCTTTCAAATTTGTCTACTTACAAGCTTACATAAATGTGATGATGTGGCAGTGGATGCAGAGCAGATGCTAGTGAAGCAGCTATAATATTATTGCCATCAAATATTACTGTATTCACTCTTGATTTTTCTGGATCTGGACTTTCTGGTGGAGAACATGTCAGTCTAGGGTGGTATGAAGTAAGTGAATAACTAATCTTAATTTTTTGACAGATTTTTAATAATCCTGATTAAATTCTACATGAATCTATTTAAATCTTCCATCCGATTGTGTTGTTTGAAAACAGAATGCATATGTTGATAGCTGTTAAAATATAAAGAGATATCTGTATGTTTGGAGATATATTGTTTAAAGTATATGTAAATGTAATGGTCTTTCTTTATTTCTACTTTCATTTTTCTATATTACAACATTGCCCTTTCCTTTTTTTTTATTTTCTTTTTAAGACAATGCACTTTTATCAATCTACCCAATTATATCATTGTCTTCCACTTTTTTTTTTCCTAATTATAGCAGTGAAATTTTCTTTGTATTTCTATGTTTTTAAAGTATGATACTATAATAGGAAGAAATGGAAGTAAGATATTATATAGTACAATAAACAAATTAACAAAAGCACATTGCTATTTCTTGCATTTTTTAATCGTAGAGGAAGTGTAGTCATTGACATGCCTAGGTTTTAAGATTATTAGTTGTTGTGATATTACCTTTTCACCCTTTAAGTTGAAATGGATTTTTTTTTTCTTTCCAGAAAGATGATTTGAAATCCGTGGTAAATTACTTGCGGGCTGATGGAAATGTTTCATTAATTGCCCTTTGGGGTCGATCCATGGGAGCTGTAACAAGGTAATAACTTTTTGAATACGAGTAAATGACCATTTTACCCTTATAGATATATTTAATAATCACAACATGATTATAAACTAAACCTTGCATAGTTTAAAGCTTATGGACTAGGTATCATTTATATAACCTCATTTAGGTCATAATACATGTCATTCCTCATGTCTTTTTTCTTTAATAATTGATATTATAGTGATATGTGATGTGAGTTTTATGACTAAATATGTTGATGATGTCAGCCTGATGTATGGAGCAGAGGATCCTTCAATTGCAGGAATGGTTCTTGATAGTCCTTTCTCTGATTTGGTTGATTTAATGATGGAACTTGTTGATACCTACAAAATTCGTCTGCCCAAATTCACTGTATGTTCATCTATTATACATACATAGTCATAATATTGATTAATGATTTAGTTCACTAATCAAGATTATGCTACAATATCAATATGTTTCTTTTCTTCTTAGTCATTGTTAAGTATTTTCCGGATAAATCGTGTTAAAAAGTATTTGAGAAAATGACAACACAAAACAAGGACAAATTTGTAAAAAGTTATAACCCAATGAGGAAAGGTTCCTTTTCCCGACTTTCTCAATTAAGTCGTTCTTTCTACATTAAGTAAAAAAACACACTCACATATAGTTTTCAGATTAAGTCATGTCTCCATTAAGCCAAAAAGAAACAACACCTTAAGTTTTCTAGAAATTGGCCTTCATCTATTTTTTCCTTTCATTTCTTGAAGCATGTTGTCTATTTCTCAAATGTCTTTTAAACATCATTCAACAAAAAAGAAAAGAAAAAGAACATGGCTTTAGTCTTGTTATTTGGTTTTGTGTTTGTAGGTTAAATTTGCTATCCAATACATGAGAAGAGCTATTCTTAAAAAGGCAAAGTTTGATATTGTGGAGTTAAATACCATAAAAGTTGCAAAATCTTCTTTTGTTCCTGTTCTTTTTGGTCATGCTGGAGATGATGATTTTATACAACCACATCATTCAGATCGTATCTTTGAAGCTTACATGGTAATTTACTATTTACTAAGTCTAATATTTTTGTACAAAATCTTGATTGTATTTTTTGTTTAATACTTTTATGTTGACAGGGAGACAAGAATATTATAAAATTTGAGGGTGACCATAATTCGCCACGTCCTCAGTTTTATTTTGATTCTATAAATATCTTTTTCCACAATGTCTTGCAACCTCCTGAAGATGATGTTAAAGGAAACTTCTTTGATACACCTCTTGATTACCTTGGCAAGGTATATTCTACACACACACACACACTCAATATAATTTCCAGATTCAGGGTTAGTTTGGTTAAATGGAATGGAATAGAAAAGGAATGGAATGGAATGCGTCGTTACAATCCATGGTCATGTTTGTTGGCATGTGTAAAGAAATGAAATTGATTTTCGTTTTGATGGAATGAACTATTCCATTCCTTCCCCAATTCCATCTTAACAAATGTTTGTAATAATTTCTCTCTGCATTCAGGAATTCCATGGAGTTGGATATGAAAACGATGTTCATGTTACACCTCAAGGCATGCAATTTTTAATGTGGTTTAAGTTGGTTTGATTTCAAATTGTCTGAATGGTTTTTGACATGATGTTTTTTGTGTTATAAATTCGTGTACAGCATCAAGTAGCACAGAGGATGCCATTAATCAACTCCGTTCCAAAAGGCCAATGAGTAGGACTGAGGTCAGTATTTGGTTTTGTTTTTCTGTCGTTTTGTTTAGTGTTAAATGGAAGAAATAGCAATGTACTTTCATTGATTTGTTTGTTATATTGTACATTGAAAAATCTACAAATAAATGAAAACACATTGCTATTTCTTGCATTTAGTTCTTTTGGAAAAGACTTTTTTTGACTTTAAAAAAAAAATTCAGGTTCCTTCGGATATGCCATTAACAGATATTCCATGTAGTTCTGAGGTATTTTCCTTTCTTTTTCTCTTTTTCTCTCTTGTCCTTTAGTTGAATCATTTTCGTTACTCCCTCCATACCAATAATCAACTCATATGGAATCCACTAAAATGAATTGGAATCCAAATGGATGGAATTGGAATTTAAGTACTCTTGCAGATTCCATTATTCTGATTGAATTGTGAATCTGAAAGATTTTGATGGAACTGAATTCAGTTCATCGACAACCAAATACTCAATGGAATGGAATCTTGAATCCCAATTCTAGTCTTATTTTGCAATTCTTTTAGCCATTTTTTTTATAGTTTAGAGTAGAAAATGTTGACAAATCACCAAAGATGATCGAATTATTATTGGTTCAGGAAGAAGGAAGTACAACAGAACCTATTCCATCATCTTCTAAAATGATTGACTTTGACTTTTCTAATGGTCATACACATACACATGCACCCTCAATACTAGAAGATCATGAGTATGTTGAATACCCACTTCAACACATAGAAGGTCTCCCATGCAATGCCGAGGAAGAAGAAAGGGTAACCTTTTTATTATTTATACCTAAAATACCCCTACTCATCATCATTATTATTAGTTGTTTTTCTAAATACATGATGTGATGATTGTTTTAGATGCTGATGGAAGCTGTACTCCTGTCTTTAAAAGATTTAGAGGTGAAACAACCAGAAACAGAATCCACTGATACAAATCCAACAACAAATCATTCTACACCAATAAAAGCGGACCCCACAAGTGTTTCAACAGCTAGCAGCAGTGATTCACAGTCGAGATTCATGTCTCCATGCAACAGCACATCATCATCAAATATGACACCAACAGTAACACCATCAGTGGGCCCCACCTTGGATGCTGACATGGCGGATCGGACGAAAGCCACAGTAACCGTGGAAAGAACCCCATCTGGTAATATAATGGACGGATTGTTACGGCGTTGGGATCTTAATTTCTTCAAGAATAGATGATGATGATGATGATGATGATTTTTGGATCTTTTGGTTATATAGCAAGTGTTTTGTGTTTGATGATTTTATAATTTTTTTTTTTTTTTTTTGGGTTTTGGTTTTGGAGGTGGTGTGGTGATTGATTGATTTGATATTAAGATTGTGTGGGGAAAAGGGGGGATGAAAATGGAATTGTGCAGAAAAGAAGTGTAAGGGAGATTTGTATAATTTGTTGTATATAAAGGTTTAATCCTGGATGTGTTATGTCTTGTCACATGTATGGACAAAGTTTTTGGGTTTTGTTTCACCCAAAAGAGATGTCTGCAAAACATCATGTGAATCTTGACAAGACAAAAAATACAACCAAAATAGTATTCATGCTCTTTTTGCCATTTAGGCATTGTTTAGGGTACCCTTGTTACTCATTATACCAAAGTGAGTTTTATTAAATCAACATTTTTATTTATTGTACCTCTATGTTTGTATATATTTTTTTCTAATAATTTCAGGTATCATTTTAATAATCGATATCTTATTATTCATCATTTGGTATATTCTTGATAATTTTTGAACCATGTGTAAGAAGATACTTGCACAAAAAACCCAACAACACATCCCACAATTTACGGAGGAATCTTACCATTAATAATTGATATCTCACTATTCATTATTCGGTATATTCCAAACCCTATCTACCCTACCAGCTCAAGATCCTTGTAGATGTATTTTTTTCTATATATACATAGGATAATACCGAGACTAATTGGTTTGACTTAAATCAAGAAATGGAAAGACATAACACATTTGTTTTGAGAATCTTCAATGTCCAACTCATACTTCAATCAAGACACAACCAATGCATAATTCAAATCCACTTATGAATGAAAATTTACATGAATTTCATAAATACGTGTGACATTCAAAATGTAATTTAAGATGGATATTGTGGATTCTAGATCATTGCTTTTTCTCTTAGTCATTTCGAAGATTATTTGCATCAGATTTTATCGAATTTATGCAACAAGCTATTAGCACATCCTGCAGAGTACATAGTGATTATGGTGATTAGTTTAACACAATGTGTAACTCGTTGAATTTCTCTGGAGTGAGTTCTGCTATTTCTAAATATTGGTTGATTATGTGAGACACTACTATTCTCTTTGGTAACAAATATTGTGTTATTGTTCATTATTTGAACAATAAAGGTTCTACAATATGGTTCTCACTTTGGTATGGCATGAAAGACATACCAAATCGTGCATATGTTGTATTTATTCATGTTCACGGTAACCATTATGTGATAGTTGATTTACAAGAAACGTATCAAATGCTTACTGTTTTGTCATATTTACGTAAGTATGGATCAGAACGTTCTGCATGATGGAAACTTTGGACTTAATGTTTATGTTTCACATAATAAACATAATGTACCATGCAATTTTAATACTCAAATGGCTAGTATATCTGATGATTAATACAGACAAACTTTGCTTTATAATAATAATAATAATAATAATAATAATAATAATAATGAATAAATCAAATAATATTAGTAAAATAAAATAAAATATTAATAATTATAATATCTTTCTAATAATAATAATCATAATTTTCTAATACTAATAAAACTTAAATAAAAAAATAATAAAAAAAATTCTAAATCAAGGAGTTCAAAAAATTATCAAAAGAAATATAAGACAATAAAATGAGGATGTGTTAATTGGACACATGTAGCTTTTAAAAGCATGTTCATTCTTAAGAAATCTTTTTAATGTAATCAATGCAAAAGTTTGATGATATTTACTTATGGTGGGTTAATTACTTGTTTATGCAATATTTATTGTTATTATTATTTTTATTTTTTATTTATACAATAATATTTGCATACAAAATATTTAATAATGTTTTAAAGTAGGACCAAATCATACAACTAGCTAACATAAGATTGTTAAGTTAAATTTCTGAACTTTGTATTTTAATAAAATATTATTTTTAAATATTTTGAAAGCTGCTTAGATCATGTTTGTCATGAAGCCTCTTCATGGCTAATATAACAATGTGGTGGACGCATCACAGCTCAATGTGGAACATCATGTTGAAATGTGATTTGCACCACACTAGACCACACCTAATTCTTTCTCTCTTCCTAACTCTTAATTAATTAAAAAATATTTTTTTATTAAAAAAAAAAAGGATATAACGACATAGAGTGGTGATACAATGTGTTTTAAATATGATGATGATGATATTGTAATAACACTTTTGGCGTGGTGAATATACCTAGCCTTAGGTTAAAAACTAACACCAAATCATACACTTAACTGTTTCAGTTAACTGGTTGCAACATTTGGTCCTATTTAAAAAAAAAAAAAAAACCTTTTTGTATATTTTACATCAACAATTAACATTCATAAACTGGAAAAAAATTGGATAAATAAGTAATTAACCCTAAACTTATTTCTATTTGTTGCCAATTTGATCAACGTCCACATATATTAGCACCTCATTGAAAAGTCAAAGTGTCAAAAAAATATACAGCAACAAGCCAACAATATGATCCTTTTGCACGAAAAGAAATACAAATGTTATATCAAAATATAGAATTACATAAATCAAAGATCATGTCTTCATAGCGGGTCTCACCAACCCAAGACCCGACCCACTTCCCAAATGCTTAAAATCTTTAGCTTCAAGATTATCCCCATGACCCGCAAACCCGGTCCCACCTTTCTCCAAATAAATCAAATTCCTCTCTTTGCAGCCTTTATTACACACCAAACACACCTTATCAACCGCCATAAACTTCTCTGCACACTTCTTACAAAAAACATGTCCACAAGAACTTAAAGCCACAAGCCCTAAAGTATTAGTCAATGTCACCTTACAACTAGGGCACACGTAAGTTTTATCCAAGGGCGAATTCGTCTTTTCCTCATTTGTCTCTTCGGTGAAGAGAATAGAGAAAAGGGATTTCATTTTAAGCTTCTCGTTGCCTTCCGGGCAGGTAGTGGCGGTGGAAGGGGCGGTGATTTTGACCGGAGCTTCTGGGGTGGCGGAGGGTAGCCAAAATGCTTTCATGGTTCTGAGGGCTTCTGCTTCATATGATGTCGTTTTCACACTGTTTGCACCATGGAAATTGTTTTGATCGCGGTTCAAGTTTTTATCGGTGTATTGTGGGACCGCACCATGGTTTTGTTGATCGAAGGCGTCGAGTTCTCGCGCTTTTTGTAGGGCTATTTTTTCGGTTTCTTCGTCTTTTTGTTGTTTTTGTTGGGTAGTATGAGCAGCTAGCTTCCTGTCACAAACATATCAGGTTGTACTGTGTTTAGTACAGATGCCTAGTGTAAGAACAAATTTCCATAACCCATATTACTAGACACCTATAATGAACTATATACATGAACAACCATCGGGTTATGCATTGATGGAGCTTCCAACTCAAATCACAGGTCAGATGTAATGCCTAGAGTATTTTGGATCTACTAACGAAGATTGGAGAGCAATGAGTTCAGGTATAGACTAAGTCAAATACTATTCCAATCCCAATCCTCTGATCCAAGCAAGTATATATGGAATTAAAGAAGATAGGGTAAATTGAGTGTATTACCTTTGGATATCTTTCTTTTGGGACAATAAGCACTCGAGGATGCACTCTTTACAGAAGACGTGGCCTTTTTGACAGCACAAGGGATCGATGAAGGGCTTCAAGCAGAGAGAGCAAGCATCGAAGGGTTTGATTGAGTCTTTACCAAGCCTCTCCTTTTGAGTACCGTAACCTAGCTTCCTCTTCTCGTCATACGTGAAGAACGCTAGATCGTTGTTGTTCTTGGAATGTCTCTGAGGCATGTTTTCAGATCAATTCAGGAGGGATTAAATTTGGATTTGGATTAGGATTTGGAGTTGAATTTGAATTCGGATTTCAAGAGGAAGCAACTGAGATCGACTGTCGACTTGGAAACCCTAGAATTTTGACGAGCCTCCTTTGAGGTTGTCTTTGTGTACATGACATCCGATCTCCTATTTATATCCCGTAGGGTAGATAACTATAAACATTAACAAAACTAAAGGGCTAATCACAAATATATCAAAAACAGAAACTATATAATATAAATAATTAAAATTTTGAAGAGTCTAATTTAATTCTAAGCTACTTTCAAATCCACCTGTGTCTCGTAGACTTAGGCTACGTTTGGCGCACCACAACTAGCTTGTTTTTCGATTTTTATTTGTTGTCGTATTTGGTAAGCCAAAAAACTAGCTTATAAGACTGCACGGTGTGGGTGCGGTCCGAGACCGCACTTTGTGCCACATAGACCTGGAACACCGCCCCCAGACCGCGGTCTAGTGCGGTCTTGACCGCAGTGCAGCTAGGGAATACCGCGAATTTTGATTGATTGTTGGGTGTTGATTGACTTTTTGACCGTTGAATGGCCTTTTTAGTTAATTTCTTTTTTTTTTTAACTTTACCACACACACACACACACACATATATATATATATATATATATATATATATATATATATATATATATATATATATATATATATATATATATATATATTACCATTCTACACAATATTTTTACACAATTTTTTATCATATCTTTACTTCTTTTCTCTATTTTTTTTTTTTTGAAAAATATCATCTTCCAAACGACCCAGCAAATAAAAAACACCAGTCAGAAATACCAACACCCCACTACCTTCATTTGATCAACTGATTTTCTCACCTCCGTATTACCACTACGGCGGTATGTTTCCGTATTTTCCACAACGATCAGCGCAACCACAACCACAAACACCACCACTACCACAACCCGACCCGGATTTTAATCCATTTGATTTTTTTATCTCAACCCGAGTTTGTTCAACAAACACAAACACAATCAGAAATGGTCGTTTCTAATACTGAACCGGAATTCGTCACAGAGACTCAGCCCACTCGAGCAGCAACTAAAAGAAAAGAGAAGACGGTAGCTAGATGTTGGGAACCTTTGGAAGCGTTAGTGTTGGCACAATCTTGGATCGATATTTCAGAAAATGCGACGGTTGGAAAAGACCAAAAGCATGTCTGCTTTTGAATTCGCATTTTACACAGGTTCCATAAAGGAATGAACCGTG